TTTCACTGTGTGAAATTTCCGCAATTACTGCGGTTATGTCCCTAAGCGTGCGTTGATAAGACTTGGAAAGTTCTCCAGACCTGGTTAATATACAGACGCTTCACTTCCATTTGCCAGTGGCAACTGAATTTGTTCCTCACCTCTCCGGCTACCACGTCGGTGCTTCGCCAGGATTTCACTACACCCTTAATACCATTATTGCGTCCGCAGCTGCCCTTAGGACGAATTCACGTATGACGAGCATATTCGTGCGAGGAAAACAATTAAGTCGTTCAAACGAGCCATTCACGGACCTGAGGATCACACGGACATCCGTAGGAAACGCCGAGGATATTTTGTAGGCTTCACCTCGGACATCCGGGGACCGTTTACTCGAAATATCGTTATGATTACCCCTTGGCCGTAATCGCTCCAAGTCTAATCGCAAAATGCGTAAAAAAATTGAAAAATTCCTCGTGCATCGATTTGTCAATATCGTTACGATTACCCCTTGACCGTGATCGCTCCACCGATCTGCAAGTCTAATTGCAAAATGCGTGAAAAAATTAAAAAATTCCTCGTGCATCATTTCGTCAATATCGTTACGATTACCCCTTGACCGTGATCGCTCCTCCAATCTTCAAATGTAATTGCAAAATGCGTGAAAAAATTGGAAAATTCATCCTGCATCGTTTCGTCAATATCGTTACGATTACCCCTTGACCGTGATCGGTCTTCCGATCTGCAAGTCTAATTACAAAATGCATGGAAAAATTGAAAAAATTCCTCGTGTATCGTTTCGTCAATATCGTTACGATTACCCCTTGACCGTGATCGCTCCTCCAATCTTCAAATGTAATTGCAAAATGCGTGAAAAAATTGGAAAATTCCTCCTGCATCGTTTCGTCAATATCGTTACGATTACCCCTTGACCGTGATCGCTCCACCGATCTGCAAGTCTAATCGCAAAATGTGTAAAAAAATTGGAAAATTCCTCGTGCATCGTTTCGTTAACATCGTTACGATTACCCCTTGACCGTGATCGATCTGCAGGTGTAATCGCAAAATGCGCGAAAAATTGGAAAATTCCTCGTGCATCGTTTCGCGACGTGATGGTACTCTCGAGGTGGTAAAGGCGGCCATCGAGCGATGGGACAGACGCCATGACGGCTCGTTTATTCCGTTTACTTCTCGAAGAAGTAATTGACCGGGTGTTCGGCGCAAATGAGTGTTATCGAGGCTCGGTACGAGTTGGCGGAAGTGGCGGCGATCGATCGCGTCGCTCTTGTTTTGCGGCTTCGATCGCCGCGTCGAGGCGCTCCGCCGTATCCGACGAGAGAAAGAGAGGCCAACGACACTTCCACCCGGCCTGCACCCAACTGCACCCGACTTAATCTCCCGGGGAAATAACAATGACGATTTTAGCGGGCCGATTTGCGCATCCAGACGTCGCTCCAGGCCGGAGGAGCCGACAATGGGCGTACTCTTCGAAACCGAATTACTCTACGTGCGTTCGTCGGCGATAAAGGCACTGCGACGACGAGTCGAGTGCTGTTTATCAGGAGAGTTCTGCTTATTAATGCGATATCGGAGTAAGAAGTCAGCTGACTGCCTTCTGAACGAACATATCCCCACCGATCGTCCGAGACGATCATAAAACTCCGGAACACTGGCTTCAAAGATGTGCATACAATGGTCGGTGCACTCTCTCTCTCCTGCTAATAGACGATCCGATGATCGTATTCAGTTTATACAAGATCGTATCTAACTTATGTACGATTGCAGTAAATTTACACGAGGACGTTATTCCACTTTGGTTCGACCGTGTCGAACGTCACCCGAGGAGGCGTCCTAAGCCTCCTCGGGACGTTAAAAGTCCGCACGCGGATTATACTTCCGTTGCGTGCAGGGCCCCGGGAATAAGATTAGCATTTCTTCTTCCACGTCGCAGAAATTCGAAGACATCGCATGCTTCGGCCGGGACATTCCTTCCCCCGTCTTCGAAGAATACCCGCCTCCGTTATGCACTCCCGAATCCGTCCCCGAGTTGGACCGTCCGCCATCGCTGCTCCTATCCTATCCTTCAGGAAAATCCAGAAGCCTCGAAGTCTGTTAAATCGTACCAACTGGGTTAACATCAGTCGCTAATAGCGAGTAAAACGTATGTCGAGGTAGCTGTTATTCCCACGCTGCAGAAAACTCGTTTATCTGCGCGTCGTCTCCAAGGCCTCAGTCTTCCTCTGCGAGATATCCTTCGGGCAGGCTGCTGAAAAATATCTGCACTCGTATCCTTAGACATAGAGAGGGGAGCGAAACTCCCCGAGTAACGTGCAAGATACCAGAAATCCATTAAGTGCATGATTCCGTCCAGAAAATTCTAAAATCTGCGCACATGGCCGCTCCTCGTGTGTTCCGGCGGCCATCTTGATTTCGCAGAGGCAAAGCCTTCTCATCTTCTTGCAAAGGGCGTGCATTCCCCTCTCGGAGGCACCTGGGGCCGTAATTCCGGCTGGATATTTCCGAGCTCAGAGGACACCGCGAGTCGAAACTCGACGATCCGAGGCCACGTGCATCCTGCACATATCCAGCAGGAGTTGCACCTCCCGTGCATCCTGCGCATCCGGCGTATGACGAATCGGATCCCGGGGAAGCGGCATAAATATCTTAATGCCCATCTGCGGGGCCGTTCCCACGTAAATATCGAGTATCGTCGGACCAGGGTAGAAGGAGGGCCAATGTCCGCGACAGACGGTCGACGCGGTTTTTCTCAGGAGCATCTCTCCCGGCCGGGACACCCGGCGGACCTGGCGGACCCCCAGCAGCCTCTAGAACTCGTTCGGCTAGAAGAAAATCTCGTTTCTTCTCCCGCGAGAGTAAACAGGGGTGAACCTGCGTGGCGACAATAATGTCTCCGCGGCCGGAATATCTGTGGGAGAGCCCGAGAGAGGGAGAGCAGAAGGGCTGACCCCTAATGCGGGGTGCTAGGCCGCAGGGGGTCTCCTGACCAGGGCGCTAGACGAATTATCATGACAAAGACAGGCTAAATGTTATGTCCCATTACGTCGCCGCTTTGTTTTCCTACGTCCGCTGGGAACGATCTCTCCTTGCTCTCCCGAATGCTGTTCCTCTTCTCCGGCCAGAAGAAAAGGTCCAACCGCACAGTGTCGCGGTTACTTAACACTGAAATAACATCATACATATATAACGCAAGTAGTGGCATAATATCTAATTATCTCCGTTCCGTAACATGGTTAAAAAACCAACATTGCAGTTGCATATTCTTAACACAACGCATGTACGTTGCATTCATTTTATATATGTCGTGGACAAACGTCTTTCCTACAATTAAATCCTGTTACTCGTATACTTCCATTAACGAGGCCTTTGTACGGTGTCTAGAGGAGTCCGCATTTCAGTGCCCTCGTCGGGGGTTTCTAACCCTTTATATTATTTTTAAGCCCAGTTAAGGTTTACAATTAGGTGTTCCGAGTGGGATAGAAATTTCTACTTGGGAGAACGAGGTAGAAATGGAGCGGGAAAAGGCCGAAAGGGCGCTCCCTCGCATGGCCGTCTCGGCAAAAACCGTTTCCACTTTCGGCGCGCTCCTCCCTCGCCGTCCGGCCCTCTTCGGGCGTCTCCGTTAATCTTCGCCAATCTTCGGGCCCCGCGCTCCCCGCGTGCACTCGTGGCCCCGACCGGATGAAATATTTTACACGGTCATGTCCTTTATCCCCTTGCGCTCTCGTCGATCGCGACGCTCGTTGATTCCTTGTAGAATTCGTCTCGGCGTAACGACTCCTGCCGGTATCTTGACCCTTTGGCGTCGTTCGGGTTGGCCTCGGCGTTGCTCCTCGAGTTCACTTGTTGCGCCGGGACGGCAGACGCGTCTGCCGTGACGTAGCGCTGCGGCGCGCGCAGCCGCGAGAGGTCAGCGTCACCGGCGGCGGCATCCACCTCGAGATCGATGATTCACGTTACTCGCCGATTCACTCTCCGTCTCGCTCCCCGTATTCCGAAACCCCGCCGAGGGAAGAGGAGGAGCGCCCGTTGACAAGCTTACAGGCACCTCTTTCAGTGCATTTCCGTGAGAATAAAAAAAAAAAGAATCATTCCACGATTCAACAATTTTATCCCACGCGTCCAACTCTCGAGCCCTTCATAAATTCCTGTACTGTTTTCATGCGATTCCAGATACCTTTGTTGAGCATGTTAGGTTATGATATAAATATATATAAGTGTAGATACGGTAGAGACATGATATCGCCGGTATAATATTTTTATATGTATGTAGAATGAAGAGTACGTGAATCATTTGCATAGTCGGGGTTGGGGCAATATGCATCGGTCGGTTGGAATTTCAAAGCTCGGTTACGTCACGTGGTCATGCACGATGCAGCCGCAAGATTGGAGTCCCACTAAGCGCGGCGCGTCAACGCGGCGAGGATGGAGAATCAATCGAAACTGCTACAGAAGTGACCACGTGATCAAGCGACGTTCCGATTGGTTCTTCATCCTCGCCGCGTTGACGCGCCGCGCCTCGAGTGACACCGGGATCGCTCGGTGGGACCGCGCCCGAATGGACGCACCCACGCGCTGTGCCATGAGTTCGAAATAATGCATTTAATTGAAGTGCGTTTTTAAAGTCTTTTAAGGTTAATTCCTAGGTCTCGTTGGCCGGATTTTAATATAAAAGGGGAGGGAATCACATGTTTTTATTCAAACGATCTAAAAATTGAATTTTTAAACGCGCGATTATCGCCCCAGACGCATTCCTTTTGCGCATAGTAAGAAAACAAGATGGCCGCCACCGACTCGAGTCATACTTTTAAACGGTAATTACGGTTTAACGCGATCAGTCTTGCTCGTTTAGACCGAGTCGAAGAGTTCCTTGACTTCGATGTCTCCAGAAAACAAGAGGAAGTAAAACGAGCGATACTCGTGTGAGTATTTAGAAAGATGTGACGAAGCGCGTGGGTGTGCGTCGGTCAGCGTCATTCCGTGTTCGTCCGCGTCGGTTTGGCGGCGCCCGCGTCTTCCGTCAATCCTTATCGTTCGTCACTCGAGTGGAAACAAACCGAGCGAGGGTGTAGTGTCGTAGGGAGATCGGTCCGAGGGCGGTGAAAATAATGGGCCTTGTGCGTTAATTCGGTCGAAAAGGGGCTTAAGAAAAGAACCGGTAGCATCGAGCCACTAGAAGGATGGCCGATTTAACGCAGCGCTCGTTTCTAATAGCCGCGTGCCTGTGGCTGGGCGTTGTCGGTCAGTACGAGTGGCAGCCTAAGGATGCTTTCGACGAGATTCGAATCAAGATGGACAAGGTCACGATGGACAACTGCGGGACCCAACACCTCAGCGATCTCTATCTTCCCGAGGACTCCGTCTCTCATCTGCCGGACATCAAGGATATCAATATAAATCCAGTCTTCCCGAACCGAACGGCCCTTTTGCACCTGCACAACATGGCACTCAGCAGGTCGTTCTTTTGGAGCTACATTTTACAGTCGCGGTTCATTCGCCCGGCTATAAACGACACCTACGATCCTGGCATGATGTACTACTTCCTGTCGACCATGGCAGACGTCTCCTCGAATCCCTACATCAACGCATCGGCGATATATTTCTCGCCAAACTCTTCGTTCTCCCCTTCGTATCGAGGATTCTTTAATAAGACAATGCCACGATTTGCTCCGAGAACCTTTAGAGCGGATGACTTTAACGACCCGATACACTTGGAGCGTATTTCTACTACGAATACGTTTACTATTCAAGACCTTGGAGCTTTTAATTTAGAGTCCCGCAGTGACGATTATACTAGCGACTACTATAGAATTAACGAATGGTAAGTTAGATTAATCAGGGCTTGAGCATTTGGAATGCATTTCGAGCAGAAGTAATCTGTGGAATGTGTTGTAGGTATAAGAAGTGGCTGCCGGACAATGTTGAAAAACGACATGACACGAAAACGACTTATCGAGTTGAAATTAGGTATGCTAATAATACCAATGAGAGTTTTTCATTCCATGGTCCACCTGGTGAGTTTATCCGTTTAACGGAACATGTTTTATGATTATTTAAATTTCTTTAGAACCATTTTGGGTAACGATTGCTTTTTTCCCATAACAGGAGCTGAGGAATATCCTGGCCCGGTAAAATGGACGAGACCTTATTTTGATTGTGGTCGATCTAATCGTTGGCTCATTGCTGCCGTAGTTCCCATTGCAGATATTTACCCACGCCATACAGGTTTCAGACACATTGAATATCCAAAGTAAGTTCAATGCTCACTTCAGGGGGCACAGGGGATGGATAGGTCTAAACGTGTTTGCACGCATTATGTTTCCATTTTTTGATTATTTTCACATTTTTAAGAGACTTGAAAGTGCCATACCTTGTGTGGATATTTTTATTAAAACACCGTGGGACGCAGTTTGCTTTTGTCATGCTAATAAATCCACTCTCTGAACCCACAGGAGCATATCCCGTTTGTACCGGTTTAGAAGATGTGTATTGCTCTCTACCCTATTGTAGTCAACACACTGTACCACCTTGGATGATTATATGCATTTTACAGAAAAATCTGTTTCACTGAAATATTAATCCAGAAAATGTTTAATTAATGTTTTAGGTATACAGCTATTTCGGTTATGGAAATGTATTACGAGAGAATAGATATAAATCAGTGTCCAAAGGGTCAAGGAAATAGTGGGCCTAATAGATTTGCTAACACTGCACGATGTAAAATAGACACAACCGAGGTAATTAGGATAATCTATAAATTTTCTTCACGAATAACATGTAATTATAATAAAAGTAATCTATATTTTTAGTGCGAACCTATACATGGATGGGGCTTTCGTAGAGGTGGGTATCAATGCAGGTGCAAACCAGGCTTCAGATTGCCAAGGGTTGTTAGACGTCCTTATCTCGGGGAAATAATAGAAAGAGCTACTCAAGAACAATACTATAATGGATTCGACTGTACTAAAATTGGATGTACGTATAGGTCTACATACTTAATGTTTTCATATAAAACTGCATATTTTCATAAATACATAACGTTGAATGTAGAAACATTTCCTTCTAACAAAAGTATTATTTTTATAGGGATTCAGAAAGTCCCAGCTCAATGGGAAAAAGCGCCACCATATATTCGCGAGAGATATCTGGAACAGTATCATCGCTATAGAACTAATGTGAGTGGCTCGGAGTCGCTACACACAGACAAGATAGATATCCATCGAGTTCTTAAATTTGTACTTGGTGTAAATGAAAAAACCTGTTCCAAGTAAGTCTCTTTTGCAAAGTTTGAACTATAAATCATGGGTACACAAATTCCTGGGGCTAATGCAATTTATTTTGCACCTCATTCTAGGTATACCAAAGAAGAATTAACGTTACACGGGGATGTTAGTTTTGGTGCCGAAGAATTCTTTGAGAACGAAGCGAAAATGGCAACGAGACTGGCAAACTTTATCAGCTCTTTTCTGCAAGTATCGGACCCACATAAGGTTTATTCGGGCAAAAGAGTGGCGGATAAACCTCTCACCGAAGATCAGATGATCGGAGAGACATTGTCACTAGTCATGGGAAATTCTCGAGTGCTGTCAGCTGGCACTTATTGGGATCGCAACAAATTTACCAATAGGACGTTCTTCGCACCATACGCTTACAAACAACCCCTGGATGTTCGTACATTTAAAGTCGAAGATTTAGCGAGGCTCAACGATACCGGTAAATGAAATTTCATTTCACGTGTCCGAAAAATCCATCAATTGTTAATTTCCCAATAAATGTTTTCGCTTCCTACAGACGAAGTCTACACGAAAGTCAGCTGGTTCCAGCTGCTTAAACAAAGATGGGCCACCAATTTCGATGATTTAGAAAAGTATCACATGAAAATTAAGCTCAGGTACAACGAAACCGGTGAACACCTGAAGAGATACGAGGACGACTACTTCATCTCCTACAGGTGAGGTGACGAAAGACAATTGGCTCGATGCATGTGTCTATTAAAATTCGTCACAGGACAACTCGATGCTTTGTTACTGTTTTGAATTTCAAGACAAAGCGAAGCTATTCTAAGCAGTTATCGATTAGCTCAGTATTAATTTATGGTCATTGGCTTCTTCATCGGGATGTATTGTATGTAACGTCAGAGACGAATGCGCGTTGAGTCAATTGATGTGAAAACAATTCCTGTGGGAAGGAACACATCACTGAGGTGTAAGAAGATTGGAATTTATGGAGGGGAGAGTTTTATCTTCGCACAGTAATTTATTTTAATACCCGGGGATGGGCGGGCCGTTCTCTACAGGGCAGCAAACCTGAACCACGGCTACTGGACCACTCCTTACTTCGATTGTAACGGCAGAGTGAAGAAATGGTTAATTACCTATGCATCCCCATTTTTCGGCTGGGACGGCGTGAAAGAGAAACTGGAATTCAAGTGAGTACGTGCGTGCGTACGCACACAGGAAGTACGCGAGTATGCCTGTGAATTTAGTGTGAGATAGTCCGACCACTAAACCAGTTTCGCCGTGGAGGAAGGAAGGAGAAGATCGTATTTAACATTAAGACACTTACAGGGGCGTCGTGGCTGTTAGCATGAACTTGCTTCAGCTGGACATCAACCAGTGCGAGGAAAAGTTCTATGTTCCCAACGCTTTCAAGGCGACGAACAAGTGTGACCAAAAGACTTCATACGTGAGTGTCTCGCCTGTTACTCCTGGACGCTTAGTTTAATAACATTCTTTGTATATTAATTTTTTTCCCTTTACAGTGCGTCCCGATACTTGGCAGAGGCTTCGAGACCGGAGGGTACAAATGCGAGTGCAAGCAAGGATTCGAGTATCCCTTCGAAGACCTGATAACCTACTACGATGGCCAGCTTGTCGAGGCAGAATTTGGGAATCTACTCGAGGACAAAGTAACGAGGTATGTAAACCTCCTAGCCTTAATTCAAAGGTAACGAGTGTTTAGGAAAATCCAGACCCGTTTTTAGTTACTGATTTTGGTGCGCGATTGGGCCATTAACTATTTTATTGACGTAGTGAGAGATCTAGATTATTCTGGCGGATAATTTAACCGTTTGGGATTGTTCTCAGGTACGACATGTTTAAATGCCGATTGGCTGGGGCAGCGTCGACGCAGGCAAATGGTCTTCTACTCTTCTTGGTTCTGCTGCTGCTCTACGCGGCTCTTCGCAGATAGATAAGTCGACGTATCTTAACACGATATTCTGCGAATCTTGTTCAAATTCCGTCCACATATGTACAAAGAGACATTCTTAACGACGCATGTCGACGATGAGATCGGTTTACGTTTAAGTCTCATTGTTGGTAAGGCCATTCCAATAATTTTTTTAATTCAGTCTATCGGTCAAGTTAAACAATTCGGCGCAGCTGTAGGTTGTCGGGTATCAGCTAGGAATGTCCACGGATTTAGTGGCATTGACGTACAATTGACAGTACAATGAGTATGTACCGTTTCGGTCGCATCATTTCAATCAGGAATGTTTTGTGCTTGAGCAGGTAAAAATACGGTCTACTTTGTCCATTCCGTTCTTATTCCGTACGCAACATTCTTAATTTATTTATTGAGCTAGCGAAGACTTATCGTAACCCCCTTAGGCATATCAAGAAAACAGATCTATTTATCGATGTACATATTGAACCCTATTGGTTCAATGGTTTTAGCAGAGTAATTCCGTCCAACTTGTTTGAACTTAAGTGCCTTAATTGTAACTACTGACGCGTCACACTGTCACCCGTTTGCGCGACTGAACGTATTAACAAGTATATTATTATATCATAGTCTGTAAGCGCGAAAAGTTTGTACATTTTATACGAAACCAAACTGAGAGAGTTCATAAAGAAGGAGAAAATGTGATCACTGCTGGCTTCCGTAAACCTCCTGGTCTGATTTTGCGCAGTATAATTTTTTCACGCGACGTAGTAGTCTTATTTGGTTGTTCGATGATATGTCAATGCTCTATCCGAGGAATAGCTCGAGGCTTAAGAGTAGGTTAGCACTCGGAATATAAAATTAATAAGTCGAGGTAGAACTGAAACGCGAGGGAAAATTAAATAGGCGACTTCGGTAGACCTCTCGAAGTGGTTTCTGGTAATCCTAATGAGTGTTCGATGAGTTTCATCGATGTGAATCATGTCAATTCTGGTGGAAACTGTGCAGGTACTTACCTTCGTCGATTGCAACTGTGAAAACGCTCCTTGTATTCCGAGACGTATCCGTGTCGACGGGTCAAAGGGCACTTAAAGTAGACTCGTCGGATCGGAAGTTTTCGCCCGATCGCGCGAAAGTCCCCGAAAAATGTCACTGGGATACGTATCAAGATCAAGGCGTAGCCGACATGTCTCGATTGACTGTTAAGAGGGTCTTGTTGTGAAAACAAAGGAATACCGTTGCTAGTGTCCACGACAGGCCACGGACGCCGCCTGACGATCATCGGCGAGGAGCTGTCACGAAGTAGTCTAATGTCGCCTGTTTCTCACTTACTCGCTATTGCGTCCGTGGAGTCGAGCTTTATTTTTGACAAGATCCTCAAGGCGCCCGAGAAGCATCTGATCAGCTGTCTGATGACAAGTCTGTGTCTCTTCGGGGTCTTAAGAGGAAGTAAACGTCCATTGGGGTGCATGTTTCTACGTCGAAGCTTACATCGAGTGCTGTACCTCCAGGTAGATCATCATCCACAGGAGCAGTAGAACCGTCAGCGCATAAATCACTATCAGCACGTATAAGTAACACGATAAGGCGAGCATAATATTAAAAGCGAGATCCGGGCACAGAAATTTTGACGGGTCGTTTTTTCACTTGTGAAATGTGGATCGGTGGGAAAACTTCAGACCGGCGAGGAAAGCCATCAGCGCCCTCTTAGGTTGCATCAGAGTAATAAGACTCACTGGTAACGGTGTTTTAAAATGATGTTGGTCATTTCGTTTTATTGCTTTCTTTAACAGTGGATATATACATCTAGAATAAGTCTTATAGATATAAATAGTATTAGATAAAATTTGTACGTTACAAAATCCAGACTAACTCGTGGCACTGGGTACACAGTACCTATGTACTGAACAATTGATTTGGCAAGTGGAGGTTAACGGCCCGGCGTACTATTCCTTCTTCTGTAAATAATGGTGGTTTATGAACCGACAGCCTTGAGTTATTTGTGCACCTTCGTTCACAAAGTGACAGCCGAACAGGAGCAGGTTTCTCGGCTGCACTTTGATGGCGAACCTCATGAACATGGCCGAGTACAAACACAAGGCTGAAAGGTGACGGCACGTTTAAGTTAAAACAATTAGCTAAATCATACATTATTCAGTAGCGGATCGTTGACACTGGTTGAAAATAACGAGATGCACTGACCGAAAGTCATTTTTCCACTGATGAACGTCGGATCTCTTTGAATATCTGCGATCGCAGCGATGGGTATTAACCAGTTAGCGATGGGCCCCCAGAAATGTGTACTGAAACCAGTTGAATAAGGATGTAACTTGAGGAATTTGTTTAAAAGGCCAACTCTCTTCTTACCTCATAAAATATTCCCGCGTTTCTTTGCTCCTCAATGTTTTCATGATACGATTCATTTTGTTTGTCAATTGTTGCGTTTCCTTTTTCTATACGTTTCTCCTGGTCCCTTCGCACAGCAACCGGTACAATAAAATGAACGATAACGGGGGCGACGACTAGAAGGAATAGCAAATGAAAAAGTTAGCAGGCTCTTATTACGGACTCCGTAATCAAGCTGGCTAACCTAACCTAACCTAACTTAATCAAAGGTCGTGGGCCACGAGGATAAGGCGTCGTCTGCAAGCAGAGATGAGTTGGGAGATTGCTCACGGGCAGGGTCGCGCGATCGCATCCTGTGCTGCCCTCTGGTTTCGTACGTTAGCTTTCACCGTTTTTTGCCCCCAAGGGCGGCGCAACGAATTTCTAGTAGGGGATCGCGCACACACGATGGCGGTGCCATCTACCAGTCATCGTTGGCGGCTCACGTACCGGTGACGGTAATACCATGCGGCAGTTGACGGTGGTGGCTTACCTACGCTTACCGACACTGCACGATTTTGATGGTAAGCGAAAAACACTCGTGGCGCCCTCTTTACTCTAAGTACATTGTTGCCCCGAAGTGAACGTGATACGGAGCTTTGAGGCACGCGTCGATGTCACGTACGGAACTCGCATGCAGCGAATCTGTGCGAGTGCGATCGCTCCTAGAAATCTTCGCGCGTCCCAACCAACCAAGCGCCAAGCTACGGGTCGAGGCGTTGAATATGAGTGCGCTCGGCGCTACACTCATAACGAGTATGCGTGAGAGCCGAATGCAGCGAAAAATCCTCTCTAGCCGCGGATATAAGCCGAGTCATTTCGCGTATGATTTTTACATTTCCCTACTAGCGTTATCGAGCGTTTCTCGTCCGTTTTCTAGCGCTGTTAGAGCGTATTTGAGCCTTATCAAGCGTTTTTCTGGCGTTTCCGAGCGTTATCGAGCGTTTTTCGACCGTTTTCAGTGCGTTATCGACCATTTATCGAGTGTTTTCGAGCATTATCAAGTGCCGTAGAGTCCCGTAGAGTCCCGTAGGGTCCCGTAGAGTCCCGTAGAGTCCCGTAGAGTCCCGTAGAGTCCCGTAGAGTCCCATAGAGTCCCGTAGAGTCCCGTAGAG